AAATGAATCTTATTACAAGTCCTACACTTGTGGGGGGTGGGGGTAGTGCAGCAGTTACATGCCTCTTACAGTTTTATAACAAACCTAACAATATGAATCTAGCTGATAAATCAAATACAATTAATATAATCACCAATACATGGTGGATCTATCAGAACAGCATTAATTAACAGAATGAACTCAAACTTAATCCCATTCTGTTTAATTCACTAATATAATCACTGATATCCATCAAATCACAATGAACTGAGTAAATACTAATTAAATTGAGTAGGAGTGTCAAAATTATCTTCACACAATATCTTTGCTTCAAGGATTTACTTCTGTTAGGTCTAGGGGCATGTATATAAAATTATGGCTCTCTTGTTTATAGGCTTTCCTATTTATGGGGAGATTTGCATTTGCCTTGGGTATGATATTAGGATGCCTCTCTTGCTGGTGTGACATCCAAAGGGAAGTTTCCACTTTATTTGGTAGATAATTATTGAAAGATTGTGAGCAGTCGAGTGACATGTGCAGATCTGCATGTAAAAGAAAGCTCATTTTGGCAGAATCTAAAGGAAGTGGGTGGAGTAGGGCAGGGGTAGAAAGACTTGTTAGGAAACTATTGTGAAAGTTGGGTAATAAGTGTATGTCCTAGGGTGCTGGCAGTGGGAATAGAGAGGAGATGGATGCAAGAGATGTGGGAAAGGTAGAATCAGCTTCAGAACTGATTAGATATGAAACCAAAGTTTCAAACAAGAGGAGCCAAGTGAATGATGGTACGGCTGACAGAAATAGTCAGAAGGAGAGCAGGTTTTTGAGGAAATGGAAATATAACTTATATTAATATATTGTATCGAGAATTAGCCAAAGGTGACAACAGATTAGAGCACAAGCTCATTTAAACAGAGTAAAAGAATGTTATGACCTTCTTCACCCATCAGTCATCGTGGTGGAAGCTCAGCTGTCATCTCATCATCACATCTTCTCAGAATCAAGAAGTTCCTGGCCAAGAAACAGAAGCAGAATCTTCCCATCCGTCAATGGATTTGAATAAAAACTAGAAGATCAGGTACAACTCAAAAAGGAGACACTGGAGAAGAACCAAACTCGGATTATAAAGAATGGCCAGCTCAATGAAAGACTTTCTACACCAAGACCACCTCCCCCACCTTACCATGGCATCCTTCCATTCATCAATCCATCCATCCATCCATCCATCAATCACTCAGTCGCCTCATTGCCCCCAATAAAAAGTAAATTATCAAAAATAAAATAAAATAGAATAAAATAAAATAAAGAAGTAAATTACCACTACTGCCCTCGCATTTTGGAAGCTGTCTGCCAAGATGCAGACATCAAAACAAACAAACAAACAAACAAAAAAACCCAAAAAAACCCAACACAAAAAAAAACAAAACAAAACAACAAACTGTTAAATTTATCTTGACCTTAAATGTTTTCATAAATTGCATCCATGCATTCAGGTACAATGTGTGTTGTGATACAGTTTAAATTACTGTTATCTACATCTCTATGTAGCATTTGTATGTTTGAGGTTATGCTTAAGAGGCAGAGATCATAATGAAACAAATAAGTTATTCTTGTCAAGAAGAACCAAGTTCAAGCCCTGCCTTGAACAAGCCGTCACAATAACCTCTCTGTGTTTTGTTTTGTGTTCTAAGGAGTTATAAAAGAGCACCTGCCTCACAAGGCTGTTGTGGGGATCTAAGATTCACAAGCCTTTACTGTAAGCCTCCAGTGCTGCAATCAGGAGCTGTCTCAGTCGGATTATGGGCAACTGTGCTCATTTATCAATCTCACAGTCAGAGAAGTAACCTGTTGATGCCCTGCTTATTTCATACAATAAACCGTCTTCGTTCCTTGTTGGGAGGTGGTAATTAAGTGTTGGCAACTTCAAAGTTGTCGGATATCTGTGTATTCAGGAAAGTCCGACCTTTATTAGGAACTTGACTTGGTCCAGGTGAATGGCTTCACAATTTTCTGAAGATTCAATTCTGATAATAAAGGACTTCTACAAAAAAAAAAGGATATGAACAGTATCACTTTCTTTATTTGTTTCTCTTTTTTTTTAAAATATATTTTCCCAATTACATGTAAAAACTATTTTAACTTTTTTTTCAAATTTTTAATTCCAAATTCTCTCCCTAACTCCCCTTCCCCTTCATTGAGAAGGCAAGTAATTTGAAATAGGTTATACACATGTAGTCATGAAAAACATATTCCCATGCAAGTCATGCTGCAAAAGAAACACAGGCAAAAAAAAAACCATTTCTTTTTATTTTTAACATTTATTTTTTTTAATTTTGAATTCTACATTTATCACTCCCTCCAACCCTTTACTATCCATTGAGAAGGTAAGAATTATTATACATTTTACATATGAAGTTATGCAAATCATACTTTCATATTAGCCATGTTGCAAAAAAAAAGTAAGAAAAATTAAGAAAGTGAAAAACAATGCTCTTCAGTCTGCATTCAGAGTCCATCAGTACTCTTATCTGGAGATGAATAGCATTTTTCATCACAAGTCTTTTGGAATTATTCTGGATCATTTGGATCAACTAATCCAGATATAAATGCTTTTGTTGTTGTTCATCTTTTGTTCTTGAAGAGGACCAATGACATCATGAAGATGATGTCTTAACTGGATTTAAGTGAGACAGAGCAGTGCAAAGTCGTCAGCCTCATTTTTTCCTCAACAGGCATCAAAGTCCAATGGTGGGACAAAAATCAAGATGACTGTCGATGGCTCAGGATGTAGTGCATGATATCCTTTCTAAATTAAGGTCTTTCAGGGGCAGCTAGGTGGCACAGTGGATAGAGTACGGGCCCTGGAGTCAGGAGAACCTGAGTTCAAATCCAGCCTCAGACCAAACACTTGACACTTACTGGTTGTGTGACCCTGGGCAAGTTATTTAACTACAGCTTTTTGGAGCCACAGGTGAGAGTTGGGTGCCAGGTGGACACCAAAGGTGGATGAGCAGCCCTTCAGCAAGCCCTCACACCAGAGGCGCTGGTCCTCCTTGAATACCCCATATACCCCATCAATTAAGTATATCCCTGAAGATGAACAATGAGCTTCCCAGAGTTGAATGGGAGGAAGAAATCAGATTGGATTACATTTGGAAAACTGGGCAATGCATTCAATAATCTAATGTACTATCATTTTTAACACCAAAATACTTCTGATGAATCACAATTGCAGAGAGCAAATTGCAAAGAGCAATGGAAAGACGCATAACAAATTCAAACTTGTAGCATACTGAAAATCATGATTTGCACATAACCGAGTGACATAAAATATATCACTGAGCATATGTATGACTGTAAAAGAAGATGGATGAGTCATATAGTCAGAGTCAGGGATAACAGATGTTACACTGCTATCTAAGAAGTACATATATTAAAATTTTTATTATAAACTTAATACCAACTAACCTGCTCTCCTGGTAGTTCTGGGCCCAGTCACTGTCCATTTGCAGCACTTGTTTAAGGCACAGGTACTAAGGCACAAGTTTTATGGGTTGTTCATCCAACTATTACATCATAATCTAAACAATAGACATTCTTTATCTACTTGTTTTTTCCTGGATAGATAATTGAGGCCTTTGGGAAATTGCATGGTTCTTTTAAGGATCCTGAGCTTCTCTCTGAAGGCATGTCTTTTTAACTCCAGTATCCTCACAAAAATGTTGTTATAAATGTAAGGTGTGAAATGCTACATACAGTCTCTGAGGAATTAAGTTCAACCTCACCCAGAGAGTAATGGGGAGTAGCACAGCACCTGGGACATAATAGAGATGTAATGAGGCCTGGCCAATAAAGACCTACGCCTTAAAACATGCATAATATCAACTGATGTGGAAGGTTGGTGAGCTTGCTTCTGAGTATGCCTCTTAGAAGGGACCTTTTAATCCTCGAACTGGTATCCTCTGACTGTTTCAGAGTCAAGGTTTGCCCTCACTGCATAGCAACAACAAAGCATTTTAACCAGCTAAGCCAGGAGTGAGTGTGCTTAAGGCTCTAATGAAGAGAATTTTCAGCCATTTACTGCTTATGTGACCTTGGGTGTGTCTCTTCTCCTCACTGGGACTCAATCTCCTCATCTGTAAAATAAAAGGGCGGCACTAGATCTCAAAATTTCCTTTCATCTCTAAACCCTATAATTCTATGATCTTGTGATCTGTGATTCCTTGTCCATTTTGACTCTGCAGAGGACATCCAGTCTTTTTGTGTTTCTTTGTACAGCATTCACAAAACATTAAAAGCCCCTGTGAAAGGTTTCCAGTGTGCTGGGTGGGTCTTCTGTGCAAAGATTATAGAAAGGAGTGGCCCAAAATCACAGCAGGAGAAGGTGGCAGGCAGCAGGTTCAGATTTGTGCTGGTGGAGGGAACATCAGTCAATCTGTCAACAAGTGGTCTACACCACTGAGCCACTGAATTATTAAAGTGGTCAAGAAGATGAGCATTGCTTGGGGGTTTGTTGGAAGCTATCCAGGAGCAGTGGGTGAAGTGAAAAGATCTCACCTGGGCAATAAGAGTCCTGCCTGGCTTCTAGTCCCAGCTCTGTTAATAATTTACTGGGTCACCCTAGGCAAGTCACTTCTCCTCTCCTTTTAACTGAGGGGTCCACTTTCTCCTGGAAAGCTGCCAAGGAAATTTAGTAGGAAGGGAGTAATATGAAACTGATGGGTTATTTGCCAGATTGTGAGGCGACCCAGAAAACTTGGATCACGTAGCCCAAGACCCCCATTGCCCTCCCAGCCCCAAATCTTGGTTTAGCTCATCCCTCCGGGACCTTTGAGTTTTCAGAGAAGAAGGAGCCGCTCAGCTTTGCCACAACCGCACGGATGGGGAAGGCGGTTGAGCATCAGATTGCAAAACTGCCAGACGCAGTTCTCGCAATGAGTCGAGGGAACCTGCCTGGAGGGAGAGTCCGACCCGATCTCTCTCCCAGGATTCCAGAGCCTGTGGAACCACAACTCCCAGGATTCCCCTCCCCTCGGACTGCCCTCCTCTTGGCTGGACTCGCCTTCCAGTCCTCCGAAGGGGAGGGTGACTCGCTTTGGAGCCCGCCCCTGGGACTCGGCGGGTGGCCTGGGCGCTCGGAACGTGATTTGCTGTGGCTTGTGGTTTGCTGCGGCTTCAGCTTAACTGCGGCTGCAGGGCTAGAGTCCGAGCGGTAGCGAGAGACCCCAGTAGGATGCCTGTGAGTACACAAGGGCTGCCTCGGTCAACATTTAGCCACTTGCAATGGAGAGTGAGCACTTGACCGCTGCCCCGTGGGTGACGTTCTTGGGAGCCTGGAGTATCTGAGCTGGAAGGGACCCTAGAAAATGGAATGTTAGAACGGAGAATGTGGGAGCCTGAAGGGACCCTAGAATGGAGGGTGCTTCAAAGCAGCACCTTCGAGATCACTTCGTCCAGCCCCTCTTAATTTTTCAGTTGGAGGAAACAAACCCAGAGAGAGGAAGCGACTTGCCCAAAGTTGTTTTGAGGGTGTGTGTCCCCCTGCCAGCCGTCCTCCTCCTCCTTTCTGCTTCTCCTCTAGAAGAATGTGCCCTTCCCTCCTGTGAGCTAGAAGGGGCTTGCGGACGACTCACTTTGGGACTGGGGTCCAGAGAGGGACACAGACATAGGGGCAGGGCACATCAAGATTTATATAACTCGAGCTGGGAGAGGAAGCAGGGGAGTCGGGGGATTTCCAGCGGCCCTGGTCGTCCCCAAGTGCCCCGGTGTGTTGGGTGCCTTGTATCAGGGCATTTTCGAAAGGAGCCCCGGGCAAATTTGACTTTGGTGTAAGTTGTTTTTGTTTTTGTTTTTTTTGAGGGGGCAGGTAGTCAGAACAGCTGGCTCCAGGAAATCGGGTGAAATTTTGTTTCAGTTTGAAAGGCACCCTGCCCCACCGGCCTGGCTGGTACAGTCTGCTGCCAGGCTGCCAATTTCGGTTGTCATTCCAGTTATCAGTCTAGCCTGAACACACTGTAGCTCAGGTTTGGAAAGACTGGGACAAAAGACACCCCTCATTTCGAAGGTACTGAAGGTTGACCAGTGTACCAATCACCATTATGACTTTTGGGCCTTTTTTTTTTTTTTTAAAAGGTTGCAGTTCCTTCCCCTAGTACCCATTTTCACAGACTTTGAGAGCTAGCCAGAAGAACCTTGGAACATAGGAGGTTAAATGTTAGATAGAAAACATAGAATTAAATATATAAAGATAGAATAAAAAATATGAAGATAAAATGTTAGAGGTGAAAGGGACAGAAACTATTAGAATATAAAAAACAGAATGCTGGAACTGAAAGGGACCTTAGAACATTGACTTTAGAGAAAATCTAATCCACCCACACCACCAACTCCCACCAAGAGAGGGGAAGGGACTTAAGGGCACATTGTTAGTTAGTGGCAAAATCTGGATTGGGACATAGGCCCCCTCCTAAAGCACTTTTTTTTTTAAACACATGAGGAAACTTCTCCAAATACAAACGGCTGAAAAGCAGACAAAAGTGTTGGGGGTGGGGAGAGAAGATCAGAGAAATGCAACAGGTAGGTTGTTCTCTGCCCCATCCCTGCTAGATTTCCTTCTGAATTCTTGAACCGCAGTTTTGCCTGTTTCCAAGGACATGATTAAATCAAGGTTGTGTCCCCCATCCTGAAATGCAGATAATCTAAATCTATTTGCTAATTCCTTCCTAAAGAAGAAAAACAAAAAGTCACTCTCTCCACTTTTGCCTATTTGCCCAGAGACTAGTGAAAATTATACTGCCTCCCTCCCCCTACCCCATCCTGGGTGGGTCCTTCTGAACTAGGCTGTGGTTGAGAAAGAAATAAGAGCATTGTAGGAAAGGGATCCCAGCTGTTCAGGTCCAGACTGAGCAGGCTGGCCCAGTCCCAGGCCTGGTGGGAGGAAGTCTCCCTGTCATACATTCAGAGGCCTATCGAAATTAATCATCCACCATTTACTGTGCAGCATTGCATGCCAGTGGCTTTATTAAGCTCGAAGAGGGTATGACTGACCCATCCATGCCCAGCTGTTCTGGAGTGGGCTATTGCTAACTTGAACCTGTTAAAGGGGAAAAAATAAAATAATCTCATTCCTATAGTCTCTTGAAGTTTACTTTCCTAGGAACAGTGGAATGAAACATCACTTATAAAGTATTTACTATATACTAAATGCTGATGACACAAATAAAAAATGGAGACATTGCTTGCTCTTATGGAGCTCACATTCTAATCAGGGGACAGAACACATAAAGTGGAGGATTTGTGTTTGTAACGATCCCATAACCCCCATTTTACAAATGAGAACAATGACTCAGAGAGATCAGGCGACCTGCTCTAGGGCCACATAATTAATAAGTACCAGGGCTGGGAACCAATGCTCTAGTCCAGGGGTGGGGAACCTCAACCAATGTCTAATCCTTCTCTTGAAGGCTTGGCTTCCTAAAGTCTCCTTGAGCCTAAGTAAATACCTGCTACCCTTTAACTGTGCCGAAGGGACGTCTTTGCTTAAATTTTGATAGGCCGCCTGGACGGGAAAAGACCTTAGGGGCTATTTAGATAAATGTGCTCATTTTACAGGTGAGGAAACTGAGGTCCAGAAAAGGGTTTTTTTTCCAAGTAGACACCATTAAATTCATGGCCCAAGCATAGTTAGATCCTTCTTGGTCTCACCGCTCTGGTTCCGGGCTGCTTCTATTGTATCACACTGCCTCTCAATCTTTTTTTTTTTAATTTTCATTGAAACAGTTGCAATCCGAGAAAGTCCAACTCCCTTCCTATTTTATTTGTGAAGTACTATGTTATACTAATCAACCCTGTGAGCCTTTCTGATTCTTGTTGAGTGTAGAAGGGGTGGGGAAACTGACCCAGATTGCCAGGGAACCAAATTAGGGCTCTCCCACATGCCTGGAAAAACAAAAGCAACTCTCTGAAGAAATGTTTTCAAAATGACCCATGTGGCTGAGACTGTAGGTCCTGTTTTTCTCAGTAGTAGTTAAGTGCATGGGCAACTAGGTAGTGCAATGGGGAGAGTGCTGGGCCTGGAGTCAGGAAGACCTGAGTTCAAATCCTGCCTCAGACACTTACTAGCAATGTGACCCTGGGTAAGTCACTTACCCCTGTTTGCCCCAGTTTCCCCATCTGTAAAATGAGCTGGAGAAGGAAATGGCAATTCACTTCACTGTCTTTGCCAAGTCACAAAGAGTTGGATATGACTAAAAATTATTGAACAGCAAGATAAGTGCATAGGTTATTAGATACAGAAGTAAAATATGTTGGCTATAAGAGATGCCAAATGTGGTAATGACAAGAGACAAAAAATAAGCAGCTGGCCCTGATAAGGCAGTATCCTGCAGGGCTGTAAGCACCCTGGGCTATCTGGGGATGTATGCTGAGGCCCCAGCCAGAAGTTTTAGTTACTAGTTATTTTCAGTTCCGAGTGTCCTATGGAGGCCCATAACCTGATTCTGAACATTTTCCCCCCATCTATTTGTCAAAAAACCCATGAATTATTGGGGGTTTTAGAGTGGGAAGTGTTTTGTAGTACTTATTTACAGGGCTAGCCTTACCCGTAGGCAGAGTGGGTGACTTGACAGTCTTGCTCTGGCAATGGGAGCTCTTTAATTGGCTCTCCATTCATCTGTGCTTCAAGTGAGAGGAAGCTGTAGTCAAGGAGAAAAATTACCGGATTTTGGCTCACAGGCCCTAGGTTTAAATTACAGCTCTGCCCCTGACTATCTGTATGATTATGGGCATGTTGCTGGATTTCTCTGGGCTTCTCTTTCCTCATCTGTAAAATGAGGGGCTTGGGGTAGATGGCCTTCTGTCTCTAAATCTATAATACCTTTTCTGAGCATATAATATAACCTGTTCCATGCCACTCACATAGAACAAGGGTGTCCATAGAGGCACTGCCAACCAGGAGAGGAAGATCAGATTGCTAATCCTCTAACAGACTGGTTTGAAAGCAAAAGCCTGTAACTACAAGTGGCAAAGGCCAAATCCAAGGCTTAAAGGATGCCACAGACTAGAGAAAACAGGGAAACAATAACTGGCCAAAGGCCATGTTCTTCCTCTGTTTTGTTTTGTTTTTCCACTCTGGGTGGGGCTTGGGGCTCCTGGAACTCAGGAGGTCAGCTCAGTTCTAACCTAATTCAACTGAAGACAAAGGGTATGTCAGAGGCCAGAGAGACAGAATGTACCTGGTCAACCTTCATGCCTCAGGCCAAGAAAAAAACCTAGAATTTTAGAGTTAGAAGTAGGTGAAGAGATGAACCCCTTCATTTTATAGATGGTGAGTTTGAGAGGGAAAGAGACTCACCCAAAGTGTCGCATCAGGTCAGCTGAAGAGGGAGGACTGAAACCCAGGCCCCAGACTCCCAACCAATCCCCTTTTCTTTCTGTGCTTCTCTCCACATGAATAGAGATTAGGGAGGGGTGGAACATAGGAGGATCTCAGTTTCTGTAACAGTTTAAAAAAAATTCTGTGTTTCCATGATCCTAAAGGTTGTAAGGAAAGGAAAGAAATGGGGAAGGCCACAAGACTTTATTTGTATAGCCCAGGAGTGTGAAACCTGCAGCCTTGAGGCCATATGTGGCCCTCTAGGTCCTCACATGTGGCTCTTCACAAGAAGTTTGGGTTCAATCAAAGGGCCAAACTTGAGGACCTAAAGGGTCACGTGTGGCCTTGAGGCTGCAGGTTTCCCAATCCTGGGCTATACAAATAAAGTCTTGTGGTCTTCTCCATTTCTTTCCTTCCATCACAACCTTCTTAATAACTGTGCCAGTCTGGTTAAAACATCAAGGATCTGTCATTGTCTTAGTGTGACAATTCCCTCCACCAAATGTAGGTCACAGTATAACTTCATAAATAATAATTATTTTCATTTCTATTCAGCTCCAAAACTATCCACAATAACATATGACCTTTCTGGTCATTAGAATCTCTCTCCTCCTTTCCCCAACCCCCTTCCCTGACTTTCTTCTTTTCTTTTTTTTATTTTAATTGTTTAGTATTTTATTTTTCCCCAGTTACATGTAAAAACAATTTTCAACATTCATTTTTTAAGTTTGAATTCCAAATCCTCTCCCTTCCTCCCTCCCCAACCCCCTCATTGAGAAGGCAAGCAATTTGACATAGATTATACATGTGTAGTCATACAAAACAACTCCATAATAGCCTGACTTTTTTCTTTATGCTAATCAGAG